TTTGTACCTTTAAAAATCCTATATAGTTATTATTTTTTGAAATCCATTAACTCTAAAATGTTATAGCTACTGAAATTTCCTAAAACATGTATAATACCTTTTTGAATAGTACTGTGTAAAGTGTTTAATGTGAATTGCCTCACATTATTCTCACTACTCTAAAAGGTTAACTTTATCATCCTCTTCAATACCAAAATGTGAAAACTGATATTTGGGTTAAAATGATTTGTCCACAGTGGTGCAAGGATTCAAAATCAGACTTTCTGATTCTAGTAGCTAACTCTTATAACAACTGTAATAAAAATCATCTTCAAATCCTATCTGACATCAACATGGTATTTTTTTTTTCTGTATATGCATTTCCCCAGTCATTTTGGTATGCAAATACTTTTATTACTATTTACTTATTTACACACACACACACACACACACACACACACACAAAATCCCCATGGAGCTAGCTGGCTGAATTAGGATAAGAACTCACATCTTCTGATTTAGTAGAATACGCTATAGTGCCATCTCTCTTAAGGATGTATCATAAATTCACCTTAGAGTTCATGGAACAAGTAGAAAAGCTCCATATGGAGGTTTGTACAATCTGCATGAACAGACTATACTTTATTCTCTTTCTCCAGGGAGAGAAAGAGAATATAAACGTGTATGCAAGAGAAAAAACAAAAAGAATGACATAAACCCATAGTTCTCAAACTCCTTGATCTCATAACCCATTGTACTCTTAAAATTTGTTATTGAGAATTCCTAAAATTTTTTATGTGGGTAATATCTATCAATAATTTTTCATTTTATAGATTAAAACAGAAATGTTTAAAATACTTATTAATATGTTAAAGTAAGATTAAATCTATCATATGTTACCATAAGCTTTTTTTAAATGAAAAAGCTATTTTTCAAGATGGCTGAAAATTTTTATATCTGCCTCTATATTCATTCTGTTGTGTGATGTACCATTTAGTTGAAGTATCTGAAGAAAATCTACTGTTGCAAACATGTGGTTGGAAAATAGAATGTTTTAATAATCTTTCCAGATTATTAATATTCTCTTTGATACATCAAAGCACAGAGCAAAGTGATAGTTTTTTAAACTTAACTTGCAATGTGGCAATTGGAAAGAATGCTAATGAACTGTCTTGTACTTTGGATCCTTTCTTTACTCATGTATAATTTTGTAACATCATGCATTGGCCATTTAGAAGATATTAATATGAGTTATGCAGATGTTCCAAATATAGACTCACAATATGAAATATATGTATATAAATCATATTTGTTAATATCATCACTGATCTCATCAGAATATAATTACTGGGAAGCTGACAAATTCACAGTGATGGATACAAGTTTTCCAAAGTGGTTATTTTTGCCTGAAAATGTGAATCTGATTATTGGCCACACATACTGTCAACTGCTTTCCTTGAAGTTAACAGATCACTTCATTCATTTTGAGAAATTATTCAAGTCTGAATAACCATAGTTTGTCTGTCAGATGTTCTTTCCAAAAAAAGGTTTCCATGAAAAAGTGGCTGATTCAGCTTGTGACTCAAATTGCATAGGTGCTTTTCCTAGAGATAATTATTATACTTTAGTATGAAGTGGAAGTGCTTTAGAACTATTTCCCATTTTGTCACATAGAATATTTTAAAAATGTGTATTGTCAAGGGTCAGAATTTAAAACAATAATTCTTATAGCTTCACCAAGGGCATCTTTAAATGAAATGGCTTCACTCACCCCCAAAAAGTATGTGATGAAGAATACAATGATTACTAGAACAATTTGATGCCACTGTCTTGACTCACATTTGGGTACCAGCAGTTTTACCAATCACTGCTTTTACATCAGTGCAAATGTCAACACACCTAAAAAGGTATAAAATGTCTCACTGTGTGTGCGTTAACCACTCAGTCATGTCCAACTCTTTATGACCCCATGGACTGTAGTCCTCCAGACTCCTCTGTCCATGGGGATTCTCCAGGCAAGAATGCTGAAGTGGGTAGCCATTTCCTTCTCCAGAGGATCTTCCCGACCCAGGGATCGAATCTGGGTCTCCGGCATTACAGACAGATTCTTCACCATCTGAGCACCACAGAAAAGTTTCTCACTACTATTACAAAAATAGCTTTGATCTTTCAAAACCTCCTGGAAGGATCTCAAGGACACTCTGGGGTCTGTAGACAACACTTTAGAACCACTGATACAGACCCAAAAATTTCACGTAAGGAAGAGAAATAATGCAAGCAAAAAAAAAAAAAGAGCTTTAAATGTGGCACTATTATTCCTTCATCAGATGAAAGAGAAAGCCATGGAATTTTACACTTTCCCTTTTCTGGCAGGATCTGCTTAGGAAAATTCCTGACTTACTCCTACTGATTTTAAATTAAAACATAATATGGCAGACATGACCTTTACAGATTAAATCAACACTTCTATAGCAGGAAAAGTAGCAGATGAAACCAATGCTCTCATAAGCACTCAGTATCAACAACAAAGACAAAGCCTCTTCACATACTGGGTTGACAACTTAAGCTCATCAAAATCCACAGGCAGTCCATAAAGGTATTATCAGTTAAAGCAAGATGAAAAAATACTAGCTTCCAGTGCTTTAAAAAATACATAGTTGGTATTTCTATACATTTCATACCCATATTGATAATACAATGTCTAATAAGACATTCATAAGACTCAGCAGACTGAGATCAAAGGTCCTTTTACTTTTTGGGTTTATTTTTTTGTTATATTAATGTAAAGTACCCATAGTGGAAACTATGCAAAATGTTAAAGCTGACTTCATAGGGCAAATGTAGAACTATGAACCCAAGTCAAACTCGAAGACAATTCAAGTCAGATTATATCTGAACCTGTATTTTCATCAATAGAGAGAGAAAAGTTAGCTGACCTTTGTTAGCTAGTTGACATAACAAGCAAAGTATTATTTGATAAACTGAGATGAACATAAAAACGTCAGTAAGGGGCAGATCCAACTGAAGGCACACACAGAAAGCTCAGTTCTTAAAGTTCAGAAACTCAGTTATTACTGCTAACACACTAGTCTTGTTTTTCTCAGCAACATCAAAAAGTTCATATTCATCAATTGGCAGTAACATTTATATAAGCACCTGGAATAAACTTCTTTACAAGCACTGAAGCAACGCTTACCAGTACACAATTCTTGTTGAAATGGAACTGAGAGGATAGTTAGCAACAGCATATCTAAAACAACTGCTCTATGGCGAACTGTAGTGAGATGCTAAGTGTACAGAGAAGCTAAGTTACACCTTTAAGAGATGCTAACCAGGACAGAAAGAAAGAAACATAAGAAAGGCAGAGATATATTTCCACTTGAAATCTAAGTGGAATAATTCTGTTGAGTCTAAACAATATCATTTGGTTAAAAATACATCCAGGTCCACATACAGAGATAGGGTTTCCAAAGCCCCATTGCAGCACTCCAGCCATTCTTACATTCATCTGCTCTGTCATACACTGAACAATCACAAAAAAATACATATTTAGGTAAATAAATGAATGGAGATTTTGCAACAGATTTTCTCCAATCCTGACCAATTAACTGATAAAAAGAGATAAATCTTCAACGGTATTATGTACTTGAGAATTTAACAGAAAGAAAAAAAGTGATTCAGAGATAATTATCTACATGCTCACTTCCACTGTTCACTGTGTTAAGTTTTAGGGAAAAAGGCTTTACAATGTACCAAAATAAGCAGATTCCAGGTTTCTTTTGTTTTTGCTTTTGTAAAAAGTATAGCCTATACAAGACAAACCACACTGTGTTAATTTCCACACGACCTAATACTAATGCTTTTTTCAGACTAGATACACAGCCTTTCCATGCCCTCGTCCTGGGACAGTCTTCATGGTTTTTAATTCAGGGTCCATACATCTGTTAACACATGAACTGTCTGGACGTTATACACACATTAATACAGATGTCTGACTGCAAACATGTATTTCTCAGAAACAGGCCCCTAGTTTTCTTCAGATTCTCTAAGGGATCCTGGACCATCTAAAAACTGTTAAGTAACCCTAGTGTAGGAAACTCCTTCACTAAAAGGGAGGCTGAAAAGATTAATCTTAACGATCTAAGAAACTAAGATGGAGAAGGAAATGGCAACTCACTTCAGTGTCCTTGCCGGGGAGGTCCCATGGACAGAAGTGCTTGGTGGGCGACAGTCCATGGGGCCGTAAAGAGTTGGACATGACTGAAAGAATGAACACGCACAAGAAACTAAGAATTTGATGTCCTAGAGGAGACTGGTAAAAACCCCTCCTTTTAAAAATTTTTTTCCACAAACACCAGAAACTATGGAAAAAATACATTTTGTTGTTGTTTTTTCAACAGTTCAGGACTGGAAGGTTTTGAGTCTCCGACCCTGCACCCCCCTCCTTCAATCTGCAACTGGCAAGTTGCACCGTACTGACTGACCAAAGGTTTTGGTGTGAGAAGTAATAAAAGTGATTATCAGTTGCTATATGAAAACCACCTGATGAACCACAGTAGGGAGCTGACACTGTTCAACAGTGTCACTTAGTGCTTTCAGTTAACAATCGATACACTCTGAAAACTGGACTGATTTAACTACTAATGAAGCCGTCAAAAGATTTTAATTTAATTTTTAACTACTCTTGTGGTCTAAACAGCCTATCTCAAATAGGTACTTTACGCTCCTACCCATACCCTAAATGATGTTCAAATACTGTACTAGAAAAAGGTTCTTCAACAATCCATTTTTCTACTCATGGCACATTTGAGTGTCTTGCAGAAAATACCGAACTCTAAAGAGGACAACGTCGTCCGACCCAGACAAGTGTCAAGATCTCTCCGGAGGCAGGAAGATTATGAAACGTCACATTCCTGATAAGCAACTTGTTCCCACATTCAGTCTTAGGCAGAACCAAACATTCAGGGTACATGCTTTCACTGTAATCTCGACAAAACAAATGGCCAAAGTTGAAATGTTACTTGCTATAGGGTCCTCCACTTCCTCCATAATCGTAGGACTGCTGTGACTGGTCATCGATGCTGTAACTTGTCTGGTAGAAATCCGTGTTTAAATTATCAAAGCCTGACATTGCAAATGATCTGCAACAGAAAAGATATAGCAAAGATATCTTATGCCCAAGGGCCTTCTGAATTCGACCCTGACACTCTACTTAAGCGAATACCCTCAGAAGGCGGCAAATAATTCTTCTAGATATTAGGGTTGCAGCATTTGGAAGGTGGGTCGCGGGGTGGGGTGTGCTAAAGAAAATTCTAAGTCAAGGCCCAGGAAGACACCTCCACTTCGAGGGGCTGATAAGCCCTGGGTAGGGGCGGGGACGCGGGAGGAGGGGTTCTGTGGGGTCTAAAATACCAACAACAGCAAAGATGATTCGTCACTTCGGAATAGGGCTTTACAGCTGAAAACACGACAGCCTCTTTGCAAAGTAAGGCCTGGGCCGGCCGGGAAAGCGCATAGTCTCGCAGGATCAGCGTCAGCAAGGCCCGAAAAGGAGAGAGGGTCGGAGAGAAAGGACCCAGGCGCGGCTCCAAGAGGCGGCCAGGAGCTGCCGTGCCCAGGTGCGGGGAGAAATCGAACATCATGCCACGGAATTGGGCACTCACCAAACGTGGAAGCAGCGGCGGCGGCGGTAGCTCTGGCACCCCCCCAAACCCCTCAAAAGCAGCTAAGGACCCTGTACCGGGCCGGTTGCTACGTGTCAGAAGGGCAAAGAACTACTTCCGGGGCACGCCCGTTCGCGCAGGCTTGTTGGCAGACTTTGGGCTCGGGTGGGAGGGCGGGGGGCGGGGTTGGTGGGGCGGTAAACGCGATGCGGAGCATGCGCAGTATCTGCCAACTAACTCCCGCGGCGGATTTACGGGAAGAGGGGAAAGCTGGCAGCTTGGTTAGCGGTGGAGGCAGAAAGGCGCAGGCGCGACGGTTGTTGCTTTCTACTTCAGAATGAGAATTGCTTTGTAGACCTAGTGCCTGGGTGAAGGCGTGGAAGCGCCTTTCAACACAGATATACACACTAACCCCAAATGAGACAAACAAAAATAAAGAAATAAAAAGAAACATATTCCCTGCAAACAAAAATAACTAACAAAAAGACATAAACTATAAAAACAAAACAAGGAGTATACTCTAGAAAGAGAAGAGCAGCTACCCTTTGAGATTTTATGCTCCATAAAGAATTTCTGAAATCAATCATGCAATTATGTAATTTATCATGTTTCACAAATAATTTGATAATTGACTGATGTATGTACCATCCGCTCAGTGGTAAAGATTCTGTCTGCCAATGCAGGAGACACAGGAGACCTGCGGTACCATCCCTGGCTTGGGAAGAGCCCCTGGAGGAGGAAATGGCAACTCAATCCAATAATCTTGCCTGGAAATTTCCATGGACAGAGGAGCCTGGTGGGCTGCAGTCCAGACTGAGTGAGAACACACATACACACACACACACACCCCACCCCCCATCTGCAGAATTCTAGGTAGAATGACTATAACCCGATTTGCTGGAGACAGCCTCAGTTGTCCCATTCTAACCCTGCTTTTTCCAGTATAATTATTAATTTTGTTCCCTTTTCATTTTCAAAAATATTAGTTTGGCTGATAAACTGTATGTTGTACTCTCTTTAAGCTTCACTATGTAGGAAGCAGTTTCTAGTTACCAACAATGTGCATTAATGTATCACTTCATTTACTTAGTGATCTTACTGAAAAAAATTCTGGTCTGTTTATTCTGATGTTTCCACTTTTTTCCTGTCCAAAAGAGATATTACTCTCAAACTTGAACACAATACAAGAATATGAGATTTAAAAATTACTTGCTTGTGAATGAATTGTTAAAGATGTTACTCAACTTCTGCTTCTGTTTGTGAGAGTACTTACTATATTTACTGGATTTTCTTTCTTCTTCAATCCCGGTCTCAAATGAGAAGCCAAGCAAGAAAATTGTTATATGACTAAATCTTCCTTATTGTTTGTTTGGTAGCCTGCAGAAGCCCCTTGGGGATTCTGAGAATATCAATCAATTTCATAGCTAGTAATGCAGGCTTTTCTTTTTAGAAGTTTTCTTTTTTTGGTGTGCATACCCCACCTAGTGCCACCCCATGATAGTCTCCAGAAAATATATTAAAGGAAACTGGAGTACTTTGTAAACATGCTGACTTCTGTTAAAGTCATTGAGCTGGCTTCATTATGAGAGAACCTCAACCAGGTCAAGGGATGATGGAACATGAGGGGTTCTGGAGAGGCTGCCCAGTCCTTCCCTGGAACCTAGATGTCAGTCTCTAAACTTGAAACAAATAAGGGAAGAACATCTAATCATTAGCAATATCTGTTAATTATATTGACAGTCATGCTAATCTACACACTAACACTTCTACATTCTTATACAACATTCTACATTCTCATACAAGAAAACTCTGCTTTTTCAGAATGGCAGTTAAATTGTGCTTTGCTATCTTGGAGATGCCTTCTTTTCTCTCTGTTTTACAGTAAATATATCATGGGGAATTGTACCAGGAAATGATGGTTTAAACATGGGTCCTTTTCCCCTGCTTTCAGCTATATCCACGGTCGTCAAGTGAGGTGGGCATTTAACAGCTGTGTGCTTATTATGTCAAGTTCCACAATGAAACCTGATAATTTTGGTAAAAACCAATGTGAGTGCTGAAGATTTGTTTTCACTATCCATGTATATTAATTATCTAACTCAAATATGACCATCATATTTCTCCCAAGTTATCCTTTATACCTTAGAAAAGAGCTTCCTCATCAAATTCTGGACCTGTTATTTAAATTATTTTACCTTTAACAATAAATTATTGTTTATGAAGACATTTGCCTATAACAGCACCAAATGCTTTTGGATAGAACTGGTTTGCAAAAGGCAATGAACTTTGACCATAATGTAATAATTATTCTTGGGACTTTGACTTCAATATTATAAGTGCCTAATGGTCCTTTTTTTTTTTAAGTCTTTTAAAGACAATTTTTAAAACAACACTGTAAGTATTTCTAATGTAGAGCTCACAGATATCCTCTTAAATAGCATTTCTAATGTTCGATCAGCAGAAATTCCCAACCGTTTTGGCCCCAGGGACCAGTTTCATGGAAGACATTTTCTCCACAGACAGCAGTGGAGAGGTTGCTCGTTTTGGAATGATTAAAGCTCGTTACATTTGTTGTGTAATTTATGTGTATTATTATCACATCAGCTCCATCTCAGGGCATCAGGCATTAGATCCCAGAGGTTGGGGACCCCTGGATAGATGCTGTGGTCTGCAATAAGAATTTCACTGATGGTAATAGAAGTTCTGCATCTCAAATACATTAGATGGAAGGGGAAATAATGTTAAAAAAAACAAAGCAAAACAGCATTAGAGGACTGGGTTCTAGTGATGGCAGAGCCCCTCACGCCAAAGGTGTATTTGAAAAATGTAATAACCCTTGTGTGTACTTACTGTGTGCTAGGCACTGCTCCAAGCTCTTCACACCTTTGAATTTAACTACTTTTGCTAACAACCTGATAAGGTAAGTACTTTCTATTTTTTCTTAGTAAAACTGAGAACAGAGCGGTGAAATAATTTGTAGACCTGAGATTTTAACCCAGATGGTCTGGATCCCAAGTCCTTGTGCTAAACCACTAGACTGTTTTGTTATTATGTTACATATGTGAATGGGGGAAAGGCAATATTTTTAATGAATATACTACTTTGTCTAATGTGTTGTTATCTATATATGTATACATAATATAAAATCACAATTTGACAGTTGATAATTATATCAGCATCCCAAAATGTGTGTATGTTCAAATTGATTTTCAAAATATTTTTTGTAATCTTCTTGTTGGTTACATAACAAATCTCCTAATGTTCAAGTTTACTTATATTAGCCATGTAATTTAGTTAATAATGTATAGTGATAAATGATGCATGTTCTGGAGCCAGACTGCCTGGATTTACATCCTTACTAGCCATGAACCACTCGCCATTTACACTTACTAGCCATGAACCTTCAGTAACTTAGTTAAGGGCTTTGGGCCTCATATTTCTCATGTGTAACAGCAGGATAATAAGCGTATTCATCATGTGTGGTTGCTAGGAGGATTGTTATGAGATAATGCATCTAATTATCTATGTCTAGGGCTTCCCAGGTGTCACTAACAGTAAAGAACCCATCTGCCAATGCAAGAGACATAAGAGAGGTGGGTTTGAACCCTGGGTGGGGAAGATCCCCTGGAGGAGGCAATGGCAACCTGCTTCAGCATTCTTGCCTGGAGAATCCCATGGACAGAGGAGCCTGGCGGGCTACAGTCCATAGGGCTGCAAAGAGCTGGACATGGCTGAAGCCAATCAGGAGACATGCATCTATGTCTAAATACTAAGTACTCAATGAATGCATACAGTTATTATCATTGCTAAATCTATATAGCTGCAGAAGCAATAGGATTTTATCAGCAACCAAAATGGACTTTTAAAAAACTATAATGGTAAGGTTTGAACAAACTTTGCATTTCTCTGATCAGCCACATTCATTCATTCCAGTGCTTCCCTACAGACTTTGCATTATTTTAAAATTTGTCTTTTCATATTGTGGGGTATATAAAAGTATGCTTTCTTCACCTGTCCCAGATTCTCCAAATTGGGCTTGTTTGCATTGCTAATTTTAGTCTCACAAATATCTTTTCACATCAGATACCATTGGTTTAAGAACCACTCATACATTGAAGCAGTTGTACTTGAAAATTTTACAGTGCTATCCATATTTGATTTTCTTGATATATTTCATGTTATTTCAAACACTAAAGAAAATGTGTTCATATTTCTGCTTTATGTGCCTTTTTCTCTTTTCTTTCCTCAGTAAATAGAATTTAATTTATAAAGAGACAATGCATAAGTTGATTAAGGTTGCAGAAGATATTTTTATGTGCAAAGAAAGAAAATGAATGTCTTGGCCAAGTAAAAATAATTACCATAAAATTTTAATATATAACATTTCTTAAAATCATAAAGGGATCAGGTTTTATACACTCAATGAGAGTAAAGTCTAGAAATTACTGCAAGTATAATCTATTACACT